TTTGAAGAGAGCTCAAGGAGAACCCAGAATCCACAGTAAGTACAAATAGTCTTCAACCTACAACCATTCACTTAGGGACCGTTCAAAGTTACAAGTGAAAAAGTAACTTATGACCATTTTCCACACCTATGACTGTTTCAGCATCCCTATAGTTACGTGATTTACATTTGGATGCTTGACAACTGACACACATTTATGACGGTTGCAGTGTCCCGGGATCATGTAATCCCCTTTTATGACCTTTTGACTAGCAAATTCAATGGGGAAACCAGATTCACTTAGCAACGATGTTACTAATTTAACAACTGCAGTGATTCACTTAGTTCACTGGTAGCACAGTGGACTAAAGCACTGTTATTAACATCTGCTGCTTGCAATTACTGCAAGTTCAAATCTCACCAGGCTCAAGGTTGACTCAGCCTTCCATCCTTTCAAAGGTAGGTAAAATGAGGACCCATATTGTGGGGGCAATAAGCTGACTTTGTATAAATATATACAAAAGTATGAAGGCTATTGCTTAACGCATTGTAAGCCGCCCTGAGTCTCCGGAGATGGGCGGCATATAAATTAAAGCCAAAAAAAAAAAAAAATGTGGCAATAAAAGTCGTGAAATGGGGCAAAACACACTTAACAACTTTCTCACTTCGCAACATACATTTTGGCCTCAATTGTGGTCGTAAATTGAGGACTACCTGTTTCAACCCAGGCTGCCATTTTACTCCAGATTAACTCAAGATACGCTATCTGAAATATTGATCCCATCAATAAACCCAAATAAGTGGTGATTCCACCACGGTTTGTTTATTTCAATGTCTATGAACACCCTTCTCAGACATGTGATTCTGGGTGGTAAACCTATATACATATAAAAAGAGTTAAAACCAGGCAGGCACCATACCTATATAAGTATATCTATGCATATACATACATCGCCCTGCCAACAAAAATGTGTACAGTCAAGGCTATGGTATTCCCCAGAGGTGGGTTTCAGCAGGTTTTGACCAGTTCTGGAGAACCAGTAGCAGAAATTTTGAGTAGTTTGGAGAACCGGTAGTAAAAATTCTGACTGGCCCCACCCCCATCTATTCTCTGCCTCCCAAGTCCCAGCTGATCGAGAGGAAATAGGGATTTTGCAGTAACCTTCCCCTGGATTGGGGAGGGACTGGAGATTTTACAGTATCCTTCCCCTGGAGTGGGTGGGAATGGAGATTTTATAGTATCCTTCCCCTGCCATGCCCACCAAGCCATGCCCACCAAGCCATGCCACACCCACAGAACCGATAGTAAAAAAAATTGAAACCCACCACTGGTTTTCCCAGTTGCAATGTATGGCTATGAAAGTTGGACCATAAGAAAGGCTGAGCGCCAAAGAATTGAGGCCTTTGAATGAACTATGGTGCTGGAGAAGACTCCTTGGACTGCAAGGCGACCAAACCGGTCAGTCCTAGAGGAGATCAACCTGGACTGCTCTTTAGAAGGCCAGATCCTGAAGATGAAACTCAAATGCTTTGGCCACCTAATGAGAAAGAAGGACTCACTTGAGAAGAGCCTAATGCTGGGAACGATTGAGGGCAAAAGAAGAAAGGGACGAGAGAGAACGAGGTGGCTGGATGGAGTCACTGAAGCAGTTGGCGGGAGTTTAAATGGACTCCAGAGGATGGTAGAGGAGAGGAAAGTTGTCCATGGGGTCACGATGGGTCGGACACGACTTCGCAACTACATACATACATACATACGAATTCACATTCTGTCTACCTCTCAGAGGGCAAGAAAAATGAAGACCTTAAATATCAATACAACCAAGAATCAGGGCCCAGGCGCTTACAATAAAAAGTGTTGCCTGCCTTGACCCAACACCCCAAGGGAAGTCAAACGCACACTTTGAATCCTGCAAGGTGTTAACAACTCCTCCCCTCCTTCCCCGGCTGCCCTGCCCTGCCCTGGAGGGGGAGGTTGCCTAGGTCCCTAAGGCACTGCTGGGTTAAACAGGGAATGCGTCCACACGTGCAAAAAAAGCCAGCTTTCCTTCACCGGGGTTTAAGTTCACGTAGGGCACACGAAGCACTAAACCCGTGTTGGCCAAGCAACGTCTGGACCCATATAGCTCGCTTAGCACCTCTTGGGGATGGATGTAGGATCTCCGCCGCGGGGGGGAGGGGGGAGGATATACTCCTGGGGGGGTTGGGGGGGGGGCAGTGATATTTCTTCCCCTGCAGCAAGCATTTTGCTAGCCCCGCCCTCCCTGACTGGCTGCCTTCCCCAATGGTCCCATGTTCCACCACCCACCCCCCCGCCCCACCTTTTCAAGGCTAGCCGGCCCCGTTAGCAACCCCTTCCGGCGGTACCGACTCACCGGCTCCGGTTTCCCGGGGGAAGGAAAAGACGGTGCGCACCTTGCCACCACCACTACCACCCCTCTCTCCGCACCCCCCTCCTTTTCGGATCTCTTCTGGGACTTGTCGCGCGTCCTTCCCACCGCTGGCTTGCGACCGCGCGCGCTCCCGGATTTCCCCAACCCACCTGCGCGCGACCGCTCCTAGCCACGCCCTCCGTCGGCGATCTCCATCTTTTTTTCACGTCGTCACCACTTTCCCTTCTCCGGAGAGGGGAGGGGGACGACGACGACGAGTGGGTGGAGATCACGTGTCCCCGAGGCAGCCCCGCCCAGGCACGTGGAGCCGGAGTTGCATGTCGGGAAATGAAGTCCTCCCTCAGCTCTGAGTTCGCCGTTGGGAGCGATTTTCCTCCCTTTCCCCGCCTACGCAGAAGCCATGTTGTTTCCTAGGCTACCTGCGGAGTTAAACCTTCCTGACAGAACAATGAATCCGTGGAACGACTTGCCTCCAGAAGTTGTGACTGCTCCAACACTGGAAGTTTTTAAGAAGATGTTGGATAACCATTTGTCTGAAGTGGCGTAGGGTTTCCTGCCTAAGCAGGGGGTTGGACTAGAAGACCTCCAAAGTCCCTTCCAACTCTGTTATTCTATTCTAATCAGAAACACCCAATATCAAGCACTCTTGTTATTCTATTCTAATGATAACGTTTCCTACTGTTTTGTGGCAGGCAACACACAAAAACTGTAGTATATGCATTGACTTAGTGGTAACATTTTCTAAAACCAAGAAAGGCAAAATAGGTATCCCCCAATTCCCATTTAAAAAAAGAAAAAAAAAAGAAAAGAAGTCAAATGCTCCATCACCCGAAAGCAGGACAAGAAACAATGGATGGAATTTAATCAAGGAGAGAAGCAACTTAGAACTAAGGAGAAATTTCCTGACAGAACAATTAATCAGTGGAACGACTTGCCTCCAGAAGTTGTGAATGCCTCCAACACTGGAAGTTTTTAAGATGATGTTGGATAACCATTTGTCTGAAGTGGTGTAGGTTTTCCTGCCTAAGGAGGGGGTTGGACTAGATGAACTCCAAGGTCCCTTCCAACTCTTGTTATTTTATTCTATTGTTTAAACCGCCCCTGGCGGTTTGCCCCAGTGGGACTTAGGGGTGGCCTGGTTTTGCAAATGCAAACTCACGTTTTGAAACATACCGTTTAGTGTCCGGGGGGAAGCCCATTTCACAGAGGGGCAAGTTGATGCGACTAAAAGACAAGTAATTTGCCTGCAAATGAACCATAATACAGAGCATAACAACCCTGTGGGGATCCCAAAGTTGTTTCAAAAGACAACTGGACTTTATTGGGTTTTTTTTTTCCTTGAAAATGTTTCGCTTCTCCTCCAAGAAGCTTCTTCGGTTCTTAGACAAGAAGTGAAATGTTTTCAAGGGGGGGGGAAACTCCTAAGAAAGTCCAGTTGTCTTTTGAAAAACATCTTTGGAACTGTAGAGATTTCTCAGTCATCCAGGTCATGGTTGTCCCAAAAGTGCTTTTTCAGGAAGCAACTGGACTTTTTTTTTTCCTTTTGAAGACGTTTCGCTTCTCATCCAGGAAGCTTCTTCAGCACTGACACAGGATAGTGGGGAATGGAAGGATTTATATTCCTTGCTGACAGCTGGTACATTTGCATCCTTTAGATTCTAAAGTTTAGAGGGTCATTGAAGCAAAAGGGGAAAAAAACAAGGAAGTCTAGTTGCCTCCTGAAAAAGCACCTTTGGGACAACCATGACCTAGATGACAAGAGAATCTCTACAGAGATTTAGCTATACAATTTGGGATGAACACCCTTTGAATGGTGTGGCAGTAGGAACGGATTGCCAGAGAAAAAAATTGCAGGCTACAGGAACCAAGAGCACTACTCAGATGACCCTGAGGACGCAGATAAACCTCCAAGTGCTTCAGGGACCTCTAAAAGGATGCAAATAACCAGCTGTCTGCAAGGAATATAAATCCTTTCATTCCCCACTATCCTGTCAGAGCTGAAGAAGCTTTTTGGATGAGAAGCAAAATGTCTTCAAAAGGAAAAAAAAATCCAGTTGCCTCCTGAAAACGCACTTTTGGGACACCTTTGGGACAACCATGACCTGGGTGATTGAGCAGCTCCATAGACATCCCTGTGGGATCAGGCTAAACCTGCTCTCCTGGTGTCAAATGTCATAAATATATGCCGGTTGCCATATGCCAAAATTATGATCATGTGACTGGGGGGATGCTGTGACAATTGTAAGTGCAAGGACGGGGGTTTTTTCAGCTATTTATATTTTTGAATGGTCATTAAAGTTGTAATGATGTAAAAGTTGAGGACTACCTGTATGCTGTACAAATTTGAAGTCTGTCATTTCTTAACTCAACCCCCCCCCCAGTCCACTTGTCCAGTTCCAGAAACACCAGTTATATCTGCAGCAAATGTAGGTAGGTTTGAATGGCATTTACTCAATACAGGGCCAAAACAATGTTTCTCAATTTTGAAGATGTATGGACCTCAATTCCCAGAGTACAAAATGGACAACAAGCTCCCCTTAACTGGTGTTTGTAACCTAAACTCAAGTGTCTTAATTTTGGTGTGCAAAAAAGGAGAGAGGGAGAGAAGTGGGACTCAGCACATAATACATATATTGCTTTCACGCTTTATTCAAATTCTAAATCAGTTAAATTTGCATTTTTCCTAGGCAAAAGGTTGTAGTCTCCTTATTCACTAAAACAGATCTCAGATAAATAATAACCTCTCCATCCCCAGAGAACATTTCCCATTCACCTATCTGTTCTCTGTAAAAATGCTTTGAATTGAAAAGGAATATATGGGCATATCCTAAGGTGTAATCTTTACTTCATATGGGAGACAGTACTGTACTTCTCTATTACTTTATGAAAAATATACATGGATCTTAGAATGCACCAACTGAAAATCTACATTGCAGACAAAATAATACAGGTACAACAATAAACAATAAGGTTTATTTGCTATGGCAGTCTTGGGAGTTATTCGAATTAGAGGTAGACATTATCAACCAAAATACAGGAATTTGCATAAAGAATTATGTTTGTTTATCAGCTTTAGCTTTTTTTTCACCTTTAGAAGCTCAAAAGCTTCAAAAAGGACGTTTTCACCTTTGTGGCATTGTATTGGTATTGTCCCCTCCATGTGTAATATCTGCTTTTAAAAAGTTTTCTATACCATTGTGAGGAATCAGCAAAGGGGCAGCTCTGCAGATGCTAATTTAGAAACAACAAATTAGATCACCATTAGTGTTCAAATATTTACAATGCTGCTTTCTTTTTAGCTACTGTATGATCTTTTGCTTAAAAAAACAAACAAACGTATGAGTCATTATCAATGAAGCGTTTTAGGTTGTTTTTTTTTAAACAAGTAGCAAAATTGAGAGTTACGGTTTTAATAAAATATGGACACTAAAACTGTTAACACTCTTCAATTGCACCGCACATTAGGGTTCCAGCCACCCAAATTTCAACAATAGCAAGACAATATATTAAAACTATTTTCAAGGACACAGCTAGAATTATTCCAAGTCTCCCTGGGGTGATGGGTGTCTATACATATTCCAAATTTCCATTCGGATAAATGTGCAATCAGTAAAATATCCATGTGGGGAAAACTGTGAGTTCATTTCCTATAACAGCCTTGACCCCGCAGCAGAAGCATAACTAATCTGTCTTTTTGTCGGAGTCTTCTTTGGGTCCAATTTCAGAAAATCCATTTGCAATGCCATTGCTTTTGGTCTGAAAGACAGGGAGGGGGGGAGGGAGGGAAGGGGAAAAAAGAGATTTTAAAATGCACATTCATTCCATCACAGTTTTGAAAGAGAAAAACCAGAATAGAATTCTTTATTGGCCAAGTGTGATTGGACACACAAGGAATTTGTCTTGGTGCATACGTTCTCGGTGTACATAAAAAGAAAAGATACATTTGTCAAGAATCATAAGGTACAACACTTAATGACAGTCATAGGGAAACAAGTCAATATAAATCTTAAGGATACCAGCAACAAGGTTACAATCATACAGTCATAAGTAGGAGGAGATGGGTGATAGGAACGATGAGAAGGTTAATAGTAATGCAGACTTAGTAACTAGTTTGAATGGTGACTAGCTGCCCCTAAGATGCCTTTCTTGGTCCTAAAAAAGATCAAGTTCCTTTTAGATCAATGGTCCCCAACTGTTTTGGCACCAGGGACTGATTTAATGGAAGACCATTTTTCTACAGACTGAGCCCAGGGGGTGGGAGGGCGAGGGGAAGAAGCATGCAATCGGTAGTTCCTGCACAAATGCTGTTTCACTCACCTGCCACTCACTTCCAGCTATATGGGCACGGACCAGTAATGATCCACAGCCTGCGGGCTGGGGACTCATTTTAGATGATGCTTAAGATAAGGTTGGGGATAGAAGCGAGCTGAGTTGGAATCATCATTAATTAGAGTCATAACTTTTTTATTGTTTATTTACAGGTCCTCGCTTAATGACTGGTTGTTTAATGAGTGTTCCAAGTTATGACAGACCTTTTCAAAAGGTACTTATGAACCAGTTCCAATGGTGGCAAACCCACAACCACATGCCCACATTTCAAGCTCTTGGCAACTGCCTAACCTTTGTGCTCAAAGGTTGTAGTGTTCCAAGGTTCATGATGTGATTTATAATATCTTTTGCCGGCAAAAGGCACCCTTGGAAATGACTTGACTCGCTTAATGACCAGAGTTTGCTTAGCAACTGCTGCATTCACTTTACAGCCACAGCGTTCTCTTAACAGCCAGCACAAAAAAGTTTGTAAAATCGGATCTGTCACGTGGGTGCCTCGATATATGATCATCATGACTTACAAAGAAATTCCAGGCTCCATTATGGTCATAAATCAAGGACTACCTATAACATGCTTAGGCCACTTCACATGCAGCCACATATGCCCATCACTGGGATTCTGTTTAAAATCATAAAAAGTAACATCCTTGCAGGCAAAGACTGTATTTGGAGGTGAAGGAGGGGGACAGTTTTTAGACCACACAAGGCAGGCCCAGTGATGTCACCTGAGTGGAATAATTTTCCAGCTTCTTTGGTGGGTGAAGCTGACTAAAAGAATCTGTCTTTTAAGCTTCCCAAAGGAAAAATGAGCTGGGAATGATGGGACAGAGTGCAGAGGGCTTTCAACTTCAGCAGAGCTTATGGTTCTCAATTCACCCCTTCAAACCCTAAAATTGAAGCCATTTACAAAATGGGGGGAAATGTGGCTCATATGTGACAATAAAGAAAATTTAACAGTGACTCAGTCCATAGGCTATTAATTATTAATATTATTTAATAATTAATTGTTAATGATACTAATGATGGTTCTTAATTATTAATAGTATTATTTTGGAGATGGCAAGCACTGTTTAGGCGCAGCCAGACATCCTGGCACCTATAGGCCCCATGTTACTAATCCTCATCCTAAAGCACAATGATATTTGCTTTCATTGGCATCCTTCAGTCTCAAAAGACTATGGTATTGTGCTCTGGAAAGAGGTCCTAAAACAGCATCTAGTGTGACTAAAAAGGCCAATTCGAGAGTGGCAATCCCTTCCACACTGAGGGCAGATACATTCTGTCCCCTGCTCACCCCCCAGATTTTGCTGATTCCGGGACTGCCTCTTTACCTCAGCCTGCCGAACAAGTGTCTCTTCGAATTTGCTTTCACACAAACATTTTAAACAGGACACTTGTACAGTACATTCCGGCTTGTACAGGGCTTCAACCACTGCTAAGCCAAGCTTTTTCCAATTCTCTGCAGCATTTGTGTTGCCTTGACTTAGAGGCAATCTCCATATGCATTGGTAAATATACGCAAGATGAGAACAGCAGAGAAAAGACCACAGGTAGTGAATGAGACCAAGCTTAAAATTCATCCCGGAGCAAAATTCAAAATGAATAGCTCCCTTTTCTTAGGTATATTCCTGGATACTCCAATGAATGCATGGCTCGTGTAGGAATGAAAAACAGAGGAACTGGTCTGTTAGAATTACTGCATTAAGCAAGGAAGACCTGTTTGCAACTAGCAAACCCATATGAATCATATATCCGTTTTGTGACCCTACTGTTTTCTTTGCGTCTGTTGGAATATTTGTACAGATAGTCCTCGATTTACAACCATTAGTTTAGTGACTGTTTGAAATTAGAACAGCACTGAAAAAAGGGACATGACCAGTTTTCACGTTTACAAATGTTGTAGCATCCTCATGGCCATATGAAAAGATGAGGGAGTCAAATTATTATCCAAAGCACCGGAAGGGAGAACAAGAAACAATGGTTGGAAACAAATCAGAGAGAGAAGCAACCTGGAATTAAGGAGAAACTTCCTAACAGCAAAGACAATTAACCAGTGGAACAGCTTTGCCTTCAGACGTTGTAGGTGCTTCATCTCTGGAGGCTTTTAAGAAGACTGGACAATCACCTGTCTGAAATGGTATAGGTCAGTGATGGCTAATCTTTTTGCCGTCGCGTGCTAAAAGCAGGTGGAGCGCAGGGGGGTCATGCGTGTGCACATGTGCCCCACCCACCCCACCGCGCATGCGCACGTGACCTCCCCGTGCTTTTGGCACGTGATGGCACATGCTGGCCCGGTAGGCCCATTTTTCGCCTTTCACCTCAAGAGCCTTTCTAGGAGACTGGGGAGGGCAAAAACAGCCTCCCCCCCCCCCCCAGAGGCCCTCCGGAGGCCAGAAACGGCCCATTTGCTGAGCTAGGGCAACGCTCACATTCCCACCAATATGGCTCGGCGTGTCATCTGTGGCACGCACGCTATAGATTTGCCATCACGGGTATAGGTTTTCCTGCTTGAGCAGGGGGCAGGATTAGACCTCCAAGGTCCTTCCAGTTCATTCTATTGTACATCAAAGTCAATGGGGGGAAGTCAGATTCACTTAATGACTGCATGACTGTATGATTCACTTAACTGTGGCAAAAAACAAGGTTATAAAATGAGGCGCAACTTACTTAATCGTCTCACTTAGCAATGGAAATCTGGGGCTCAACTGCAGTCATAAATCAAGGACTACCTGCATTAATTTCGTATATTTGATATGGTCCAACGACTAAATCAATAAAGTTTCTATTTTATTCTCATCCATTTCTAATGGGGCTCCTCAAAACACATGCACAAAACGTTTTGCCTGGGTAATATCACTGCATTGTGTTTGCCAGCTGAGCTTCCATCCTAAGACTTACGGTAGCCTGCCGGAGAACTTTATCACGTCTCTGTAGCAACAGAGATAAGACTGTCTTGTGATTTTCTGAGCTACTGCGCATGTCCAAGTTTAAGGAAGAAACTTCCTGATCTTTTTCCTTTGTCCGTCTGTGTGATATAACTGCCGTTAACAATGTAGTTAGTAAGTTTGTTTTATTTCTTTACAATAAAATGTTTCTTAGAATATATTTCGGGTTTTCTTTCTTTAAAGTATACAGCATGGAAAAACAAGATCCATCCATCTCTAATCAAGTGCAATTACCCCAGGGAGAAGTATCGAAGCTGATTTAGGCTTCGTCAGGTAATACTTACTTTATAAAGTTCTGGCTGATCGTTGAAAGAATCCTGTTTCACGAAATCGCCTCCATTTTCAGAGCTGTTCTTTTGGTCGTGCTTTGCCGTTTCCTGCACTGCTTTCTTGGGCCAAATGCGCTTAACAAAAGGAGAGATGAAGGGATAGAGATACGGCTCAAGGAACCTTTTGTAGACCCACAGCAGAACTGGAATGACGATGCAAGGAATGCACACCATGGTTCTTTGTAGTGTGCTTTAAAAAATGTGCTGGAGGAAAAAAAATACAACAGGTTGAAACCATTATGTAGACTAGGTTCATCCTCACCAATTTGAGGGGACAACACACTTTCCAAATCAATATGTATGGCAACATTCTCCATCTTGAAGCATTATACACAGGTTGGACTTCAACTCCCATAACCCTTGGGGGTGGCAGCCATGTTGGCTGGGGGATTCCGGAAATTAGTCTTACATATTTGGGCTGCACCAGAACTGAGGAAAATAATTCAACATGCATTCACATGACATGATCAGCTTAAGCTTAAGACCCAGCAGATCTTTTAAATACAGGTAGTCCTCAACTTACAGCCACAATTGGGACCAGAATTTCAGTTGCTAAGCAAAATGGTTGTTAAGGGAGTTGTGCATGATTCTGACACTTCTTCTGTCATGGTTGTTAAGCGAATCTCTGCAGTTCAGTGAATCAAGTGGTTGTTAAGCAAATCCGGTTTCCTCCATTGACTTTCATTAGACCGCCCCCCACAAGGTTGCAAACAGGTATCACATGACCCCAGACAGTGCAATTGCTGTAAATACATGCCGTTTGCCAAATGCCCAGATTTTGATCATACGAGATGCTGAAATGGATGTAAATGCAAGGACCAGCTGCAAGGACCACTTCTTTCAGTCATCGTAATTTTGAGTAGTCACTAAACAAATGGCTATAAATCGAGGACTACCCGTGTACCGTAATATTCTCTTGTTACGACAATTACTTTTCGTTATCAGATATTATTGAAAAACAACAAAATAGCAAAACATAACAAGGTATCATGTTAGCCTTCATTAAAGTGCACAGTCTAGTGAATTTGGATAAGTCCTTAAATATATTCTGATAATTTGGTACTAAACTAAATCTAAATCAAACCCGCTGCATTTTCATTGCAAGATATATAATCAGAAATACAGAGCGCTTCATAATATATAATTATAAATATATAATTATATATTTAAATATTATATATATATATATATATATATATATGTAGGTCTTTGGTTATTCGGGTCTTCTCCCATGTAAAATTGGAAGTGTCTTGGTGACGTTTCGACGAAGTCTCATTCGTCATCTTCAGGCTGGTGAGCTCCACTCACTTGAATTCAGCTTATTTCAACTGCATAAAAAATACTGGATTGGACAGGTTTTTTATTATTATTCTTAACAAAGTCAACTTTATTTGCAAATGCATAAACTCTAGCACCGTGATGGCGAACCTATGGCACATGTGCCACAGGTGGCACGTGGAGCCATATCTGTGGGCACGCAAGCATTGCCCTAGCTCAGCTCCAACGCGCATGTGTGTGCCAGCCAGCTAATTTTCGGGCCTTTCGGGCCCACCAGAAGTTGGGAAATGGGTCATTTCTGGCCTCTGGAGGGCTTCCAGGGGGGTGAGAGAGGTCGTTTTCGCCCTCCCCAGGCTCTGAGAAAGCCCCTGGAGCCTGGGGAGGGCGAAAAACAGGCCTACCAGGCCCACTGGTAATCTTTTTGCCGTCTCGTGCCAAAAGTGGGGGGGGCATCAGGGGGCATTGAATTATGGATGTGGACACACACGTGGGCGACCCCCCCCCCCAGGCTGCCCCCGTTTTTGGCACGCGATGGCAAAAAGGTTAGCCATCTCTGCTCTAGCATCTACATTGCAATACAAATATTGTGAATGCTGTTTCAGGCCATTACGGAGGGATCCATGGGGAGGTGACCAGGTGAATTTTTGTACTTGCTTTTTATGTAATTCATGTACAAAGCGTGCAGGGCTTCAGTTATATGGTTATGGCTGCCTTGTTGACCTTTCACAAACACAACCTAGGCCATTGGCTGCCTATAGTCTGTCATCTGCACCTCTATAACTGTCTGGTTTGGTTCTGCAATCCAACAAGACAGACACAGACTTCAGAGGATCATTAGAACTGCAGAAAAAACAATGGCTACCAACCTCCCTTCCATTGAGGACCTGTATACTGCATGAGTCAAAAAGAGGGCTGTGAAAATATTTACAGACCCCTTGAATCCTGGACATAAACTGTTTCAACTCCTACCCTCAAAATGACGCTATAGAGCACTGCACACCAGTGCAGATACAAGAACAATTTTTCCCCGAACGCCATCACTCTGCTAAACAAATAATTCCCTCAACACTGTCAAACTATTTACTAAGGCTGCACTACTATTAATCATCTCATCGTTCCTATCACCCATCTCCTCCCACTTATGACTGTATGCCTGTAACTTTGTTGCTTGTATCCTTACTGTTTATAAGAGCCTGTAGTACAGTGGACTAAAGAACTGTTATTAACATCTGCTGCTTGCAATTACTGCAAGTTCAAATCTCCCCAGGCTCAAGGTTGACTCAGCCCTCCATCCTTTCAAAGGTAGGTAAAATGAGGACCCAGATTGTGGGGGCAATAAACTGACTTTGTATAAATATACAAAAGTATGAAGGCTATTGCTTAACGCATTGTAAGCCGCCCTGAGTCTCTGGAGAAGGGCGGCATATAAATTAAAATATATATATATTGATATTGACTGTTTCCCGATTGCTTATTTGTACCCTATGACCATCATTAAGTGTTGTACCTTATGATTCTTGACCAACGTATCTTTTCTTTTATGTACACTGAGAGCATATGCACCAAGACAAATTCCTTGTGTGTCCAATCACACTTTTTTTTTTTAATTTGATTTATATGCCGCCCTTCTCCGGAGACTCAGGGTGGCTTACAATGCGTTAAGCAATAGCCTTCATACTTTTGTATATTTATACAAAGTCAGCTTATTGCCCCCACAAACTGGGTCCTCAATTTACCTACCTTAGAAAGGATGGAAGGCTGAGTCAACCTTGAGTCTGGCGAGATTCAAACTAGCAGTAATTGCAGGCAGCTGAATGATAATAACAGGCTATTAATCTGCTGTGCCACCAGGCTCTATTGGCCAATGAAGAATTCTATTCTATTCTATTCTATTCTATTGGTATGGTATGGTATAAAAAATGATTAAATCTGGACTAGAGATTTCAAGAGTGATGTTCTGACAACCAATGACTTATTTTTGATTTAGTTAAAAGTGTATTCCATGAAAATGTTTGCCTGCCAATCAAAAGAATGCAAAGCTGTCTGCAAGGAGCATAAATCCTTCCATTCCCCACCATCCAATTAGAGCTGAAGAAGCTTCTTGGATGAGAAGTGAAACGTCTTCCAAAGAATAAACAGGAAGTCTAGTTGCCTTTTGAAAAAGCACCTTTGGGCCAACCATGACCTGGATGACTGAGAATCTCCACAGACATTTAACGATGCCAATCAAAGCTTTATAAAGGGGTGGTAGTGCCCTACCTCTCTAACTATAACTTCTTTTCAAGGAAAACAATTGCTATTTTTATTATAAATGGTAATGAATAGGTTTTTTTCTTCCATTTTGGGGTTCTAGATCACAACTAGTTCACGTTTTGCTTTTCATATTGTGAATATGAAAAGTTTTTAGTTTTTAAAAGCTAAGATACAGTTACAGAGACTTGCAACAATCCAGTTTTTATTTGCATTTTGATGAAAACAACAATGACCGTTTGCTGCTCCCAGACAATGCATTCAGTTAATTCTAGCTTGTTTGTATTCATGTTTCCTAGGTGGTTTGTCTACACCTGAGTTGTGTACCAGCTACTGAAAAAAGGACTGCAATTTTAATTAGTTAACTATACCAAACCTGGGACGTGGTGGCTCAGTGGCTAAGACACTGAGATTGTCGATCGAAAGGTCGGCAGTTCAGCGGTTCGAATCCCTAGTACTGCGTAATGGGGTGGGCTCCTGTTACTTGTCCCAGCTTCTGCCAACCTAGCAGTTTGAAAGCATGTAAAAAATGCAAGTAGAAAAATAGGGACCCCCTTTGGTGGGAAGGTAACAGCGTTCCGTGCGCCTTTGGCATTGAGTCATGCTGGCCACGACCATGGAGACATCTTTGGACAGCGCTGGTTCTTCAGCTTTGAAACGGATATTAGCTCTGCCCCTAAAGTCGGGAATGACTAGCACATATGTGTGAGGGGAACCTTTATCTTTATACCAAACCTGAGGTGATCAGTTAGAAACATGAATTACTCCATGGATTTAAAACTTTATATTATTATATCTGGCTAAAGAGGAGAAAAATGTACAATAAATGCATCACTGTAAAGAAAAGAAAATTGGTCTGAAAATTTTATCATTAAAAAATTGCAAAAAACCAATTGCAAAAAAGGCCTCCAAAAATAATTCAAAAACTGACAATCATTGCATATCATCAATCCATCGCTACAAATCAAATATAGAATTCTTCTTCTGATGTATTATAACTCCTATGTTAAATATGAACACAACATTTATTTTGTATGTTATTACTATGTTGCTAGCAGGGAAGAGTAACTAAAATGTTGGACTGGAAGCTGGGAGACCCAGATTCAAGTCCATCCACAAATCATTTGTCATGCTAGGAAGTCACTCACTCTCAGCTCAGCCTGCCTCACAGCGTTGATTTTAATGACTGTTATTGTTTTATCAAAATATATCACAGGGTTTATGGAGATTCTCAGTCATCCAGGTCATGGTTGTCCCAAAGGTGCTTTTTCAGCTCTGACTGGATGGTGGGGAAATGATTCAGAGCTGAAGAAGCTTCTTGGATGAGAAGCGAAACGTCTTCAAAGAAAAAACAAAATCCAGTTGCCTTTTGAAAAAGCACCTTTGGGATCTCAGAGGTTTCTGTGGAAAAATTGGGAGGGAATCATGAAATAAATGAAGCACATACTAGCATCACAGTGACTGGCAATTCTCTACCCTTGCCAGATTTCCAAAAAAGCTAACCAGGATTTGGCTTGCTTAATCCTTAGATAGGAGACCACCAGAAAAACCCTGGTCTGTAGGCTGAAGTAGTCAATACTGCTTGGAGGAAGATAATAGAAAATTAATTCCATACCATTGTCAATAAAACTGTATGGTCATGTCTATGTTTTCAACCAGCTTAACCTTTACTGTCATTGGCTTCCAATAATGATCAGGGGGAAAAAGTCATAAGTGTTTTTCAAACTTGGCAACTTTAAGATGAGGGGATTTCAACTTCCAGTTTTCTGAAACACAGTCACAAGAGTCTTTCTTGTTTCTTAGTCCTATAATCAGTAATGATTAATGACCATGGTTCAATAATGAATTATTAACTAACACAAATTAATATATTATTAATTGAAAAGCCATAGATGTAGAGATAGAGACAGACAGACAGACAGAGATAGGAAGGAAGCCAGCAGGAATGAGCGTTTGTATTGAGGTTATTCAGTGATCGAAAGCAACCTCTCAAATTTGCAGACGATACTAGACTGGCAGGAATAGCCAACACCCCAGAAGACAAGCTCAGGATCCAAAAAGATCTTGACAGACTTGAACAATGGGCCTTATCCAACAAAATGAAATTTAATGTGGAGAAAAGTGAGGTTTTACACCTGGGCAGGAAAAACCAAAGGAACAAGTACAGATTAGGTGAAATCTGGCTGAAAACCAGTAACTGTGAGAGGAACCTTGGAGTCCTAGTGGATGATCACTCAGTGTGTGGCAGCAGCCAAAACAGCTAATACAATCCTTGGTTGTATAAACAGAGGCATAGAATCAAAATCACAAGAAGTATTAGCACCACTTTATAAAGCCTTGGTAAGACCACACCTGGAATATCACATCCAGTTTTAGTCACCACATTACAAAAAAAGATGTTGAGATTTTGGAAAAAGTTCAGAAAAGAGCAACTAAGATAATTAAAGGCCTGGAGACTAAAACATACAAAGAACTGTGTTGGGACAGGTGGTATACTTGGCTGCAAAAAAGAAATCTTAAGAAGAATGTAAAATAATAATCTTAGTGTGACTGTGGGTAAATATATAAATTCAAATATAAATAAATAAATAAATAAATAAATAAATAAATAAATAAATAAATAACGTTTTTACTAGGCATGAAACCAGAGAACTTAAACAAATCTAATTGGTATCTCACTCTCCACATCATCATTGCAGCCAGGATCTCGTTTACGCAAGAATGGAAATCCAAAAATACCCATTGGAGGCTACGTTAACTACAAAGATCATGGACTGTGCAGAGGCAAACAAGCTTACCGGACTTTTGCAAGATAGACAAGAATCGGGGTTATATATGAGTTGGGACAGGTGGTATGTTTGGCTGCAAAAAAGAAATCTTAAGAAGAATGTAAAATAATAATCTTAGTGTGACTGTGGGTAAATATATATAGGAATATTGAGCCTTGATAGTACAGTGGTCTAAAGCACCCTGTTATTAAGACCAGCTGCCTGCAATTACTGCAGGTTCAAATCTTGCCAGGCTCAGGTTGACTCAGCCTTCCATCCTTTCTAAGGTAGGTAAATGAGGACCCAGTTGTGAGGGCAATAAGCTGACTTTGTATAAATATACAAAAGGATGAAGGCTATTGTTTAGCGCATTGTAAGCCGCCCTGAGTCTCCGGAGAAGGGCAGCATATAAATCAAATTTAAAAAAAATAAAATTGCATGGCAGTTGAGAATCCTTTCTTCTGGATAATCTTTTCCTTTTTTTTATGATTTGGTTTAATGGAGGTTTGTACTATTTCTAGGCGAAAACTGCTGCTTTAAAACTCTATCTGTATTATATTACTCTCTGCAATTCTATCCATATTGCTATATTTTTTTTCTGTAATTTTTAATAATTTTCAATATTTTTTTTTTAAAAAGAAAGAATCCAGTATTTAAGGCACTGTCACAAAGAAGAAGGAGTCAACTTATTTTCCAAAATCAGACAGCAGGACAAGATACAAGAAACAATGGATGGAAACTAATCAAGGAGAGAGAAGCAACCTGGAACTAAGGAGAAACTTCCTAACAGGGAGGACAGCTTTGCCTTCAGAAGTCGTGAGTGTTTCATCACTGGAGGTTTTTAAGAAGAGATTAGATGGTGACTTGTCTGAAATGGTACTATATAGGGCAGTGTTTCTCAACCTTGGAAGCTTGAAGATGGGTGGACTTCAACTCCCAGAATCCCCCAGCCAGCGTTGCTGGCTGGGGGATTCTGGGAGTTGAAGTCCACCCATCTTCAAGCTTCCAAGGTTGAGAAACACTGATATAGGGTCTCCTGCTTGAGCCAGGGGGCTGGACTAGAAGACCTCCAAGGTCCCTTTTCCAGCTCCATTCGGATTCTCTGATTTAAAGGGAAACCTGCCCCTCCCCCTCACTTTTAAAGTGACCGCTTCAAACAAAACGTTCAAATGAGGTGGGGGGGGCTTTACGTGGCCCTCGGAGAGAGAGGAATGAAACAGAAGGCGACAGGAAGAAAGAACGGCGCTTCGGTGTCGTCGTCCTCCCCATCACCTGCCCCGCGGCCCCGCCGTCTCACTTACCTGCGCGAACCTCCAACGTTTCCAGGTATGAAGAGGGAAGCCGCTTCACTTCCGGGAAAGACGGAAAATAAACGTCACTTCGCGACCACCAATGGGAGAGGAGGAGACGCGTGACGTAAGGGAAAGACTCCGCCCTGACGCGGCTCCTGCGGGGAGCGCCATGACAGGCGAGGCAGAGCGGGCCCGGATCGCGCATGCGCTCAGAGCGACGCGCTTTGCCCTCATTAACTCCTAAGGAATAAATATACGCAAAACACACACACGCGTGCGTGTGTTTTGTGTGTGTCCCACGTTTTTTTTCCTTTTTCCTTAAAATCAGCAAATCCTCAAGGGCGTATGTGCGGCGTCTTCCACGTTATTTTTCTTACCTCTCCCCAGTAATGCCGCCGCCTTTTCTTCCTATCCAAGTTATCTCAATATCTTTTTTTTTCTGCAGTATTGCAACGAGCGAAAAAATAAAAATAACAGTCAAAACCAAAGTGGCTTTCGTCCTGTAAATGTGATCCTACTGAGAAAAACTCTCAGGCGGTTAAGGGGAAAATGACTTTCTTTCTTTCTTTCTTTCTTTCTTTCTTTCTTTCTTTCTTTCTTTTTACCTAGTTATTTATTTATTTATGAATTTGAATTTGAATTTGTCAAACAAACAAGAACAAGAATAAAAATAAAAATACAGTGACGGACGATAGCCAGGTTAGTGCACTTATGCACGCCTTTAAGTATGATGCACTTACGCATCACTTAAGTATGATGTAAGGTCCATGGAAGTCAATACGTATATATCTTTTGGATTTTTTTTTTCTGCAATGTTTGGAAACTGAAATAATGGCAGAAGAGGCTTGGAATTTAGATTTGCTGCAGACGAAGCTTGCGTAGCCCCACTGTGAAATAGTTGCCAAATAAATTTAAAAACTTAAGTAATAAATAAATAGATTTTTTACTTTGCTTCTAGTCTACTCAGTAGACAGGTTGCTGTATACAGATACTTCTCGACTTATAACAGTTTGTTTAGTGACCATTCAAAGTTAGAGCGGCACTGAAAAAAAGTGACTAATGACCATTTTTCACACATAACAACAGTTGCAGCATCCCCATGGTCATATGATCAAACTTCAGATGCTTGCCAACTGACTCATATTTATGACAGTCGCAGTGTCCCTGGGTCATGTGATCCCCTTTTGTGACCCGACAAGCAAAGTCAATAGGGAAGCTCAATTCATTTAACCATATTACTAACTTAACAGCTGCAGTGATCTGGTTAACAACTGTGACAAGAAAGGTTGTGAAATGGAGCAAAACTTACTTAACAAATGTTTAACTTCTCAACAGAATTTTTGGGCTCAATTGTGGTCATAAGTCGAGGACTACCTTTACAGGGAAAGAACTAGAAAAGAAAAATCTTCACAATTTCCTTTTTCTCTCAGTCTGGTATCGATCTTAGGATATACAAAGATAGGGCATTCTGCTTCATCGTCTATCTCCTGCAATCCCAATTGAGCTTGTCTGCATCTGAAAATTGTCCAGTTCTCTTCACCCTCAAAATACTTGTAATACAAATTTGACATTGTGTTGTCCGCATGACATTGATCAAACCATCTCAAGTGCCATGCACAATTTTGGGCACTGTATTCAATCCACAGATGGATTGATAAAAAGTAGAAAAAGTTAAGACAGTGTTTCTCAATCTTGGCAACTTTAAGCTGCGTGGACTTCAACTCCCAGAATTCCCCAGCCAGCCACTTCATTTTTAAGATGATTCAAGGAGGTTATTTTTACACTCTTCCAATGATGAAAATGTGTTGCACACCTACATCATGGATTAAGTTATAGGAAAGCAGATCTTGAATGTTTAAGGCAGTGTTTCAACTCCCAGAATCCCCCAGTCCACCCATCTTCAAGCTTCCAAGGTTGAGAAACACTGGTTTAAAGAGTAGAATTAACAGCACTTGCAGCCCTCCCAGTTCTTATAATTCCGGCACATTTATGTGAATTACATTTTTTAAAAGATGATGCCATAGGACAGCACTGTATGTATTGCTCAAATGTGATACCCTGTTTGCTTTTTAGACTGCTCTGAGGACTACTCCATCTTTAAGGATTGCATGAGGAAATCCAGAAGTACAAAAAAATGTTCCCAGGGTAGTGTCAATGCGGAAGTTGAAAATGTGTTATTTTGAGAAGTTTAGTGATATGTTTTGATTTCTCCTTTACGTTAAGAAAAACCTTAATGTGAAGGTCTAAGAAAAAAAAGTCTAAAGTCTTACACTTAGGTAAGAAAAACCAAAAGCACACATAAACTGGGGGAAACCAGGCTTAATAGCAGTGACTGTGAGAGGGATCTTGGAGTCTTAGTGGACAATCAGCTAAATATGAGCCAGCAGTGTGCAGCGGCAGCCATAAAAGCCAACACAATCCTAAATTGCATTAACAGAGGGATACAATCAAGATCAAGTGAGGTACTAATACCACTCTATAAAGCCTTAGTAAGACCGCACCTAGAGTACTGCATCCAGTTTTGGTCACCACACTATAAAAAGGATGTTGAGACTCTAGAAAAAGTGCAGAGAAGAGCAACCAAGATGATTAGGGGACTGGAAACTAAAACATATGAAGAATGGTTACATGAACTGGGCATGGCTAATCTAGTAAAGAGAAGGACCCGGGGAGACATGATAGCAGTCTTCCAATACTTGAGGGGCTGCCACAGAGAGGAGGGGGTCAAGCTGTTTTCCAAAGCACCTGAAGGCCAGACAAGAAATAATGGATGGAAACTGACCAAGGAGAGATTCAACCTGGAAATGAGGAAGAACTTTCTGACAGAACAATCAACCAATGGAACAGAAGTTGCCATCAGAAGTGGTGGAAGCTTCATCACTTGAGACTTTCAAGAAAAGATTGGACTGCCATTTGTCAGAAATGGTGTAGGGTCTCCTGCTTGAGCGGGGGGGTTGGACTAGATGACCTATAAGATCCCTTCCAACTCTGTTAATCTGTTAAACCTAGAACTTTAGAGCTCCTTCTGAGCCAGACTGCTTGTTTTTTTTTTCCATCCTTGTTTATTAAATAAAGGAGAAGAGGGAGGGATATTCACAGAGTTTCAAAGCTTTTCCAGCTGTGAAAGTCTCTGACTTTCGATTCCCATCCCAGAATCACATGCCAGACAGTCAAGGTCAGGTCTTGTATTCTCCTCCTGACCACATCAAGACTCTGAGGTTTTGATAAAAACTTTGGGGTTGTTTGTTGGTAGCTTCTGCGCAGATTTAGCATTGGGCATTGTGGAAGCTGGCCATCTCTGGAGTATCTCTGCTCTCATCATTAAGGAGCTCCTGTCAGTTTGTAAGAGATTTGTTTTACCATCCTACTTGGTATGTATGTGTTTTCTGCTATGCTTTTAAATCTGTTTGCTTGAGCAAATGATGAAGTTTATAATCCCTTTGTTTTCTGCTGTGCCTATTGTCTCGTGATCCAAAAGGACCAATTGCTCTTTGATTTGATCAGTGCTTTGATACATTGCAAAACATTATTGTATGTGTGTATGACCGTAACCTTCTTGCTGGTATCCTTACGATTTATATTGACTAGTATGATTTGATTGCTTATTTGTTCCCTATGACTATCATTAAGTGTTGTACCTTACAATTCTTGACGAATGCATTCTCAGAAAGTACAGCCTCTTCTGTGCCTTCTTCACAAGCATGTTAACATTCATAGTCCATGAGAGGTCCTCCGAGATATAAATGCCCAGAAATTTAAAACTACCCACCCTCTCCACCTCCTCGCCATTTATGTACAATGGTAAATGTACATCTCTCTTCCTCCTGAAGTCAATTATAAGTTCTTTAGGTTTTTTTGGTGTTAAGTGTAAGATTGTTTTCTTTACACCAGCCCTTGTACTTCCTTTCCATAAGCAGACTCGTTGTTCTTATTTATCATTTTCTTTTCAATTTTATACCACCTCTTCTTTTTCTACCATTTGGGGAAGGGGCTAACAGTAAACCTATCACTGTTTTGAACTATTTTCTGTCTTTTAGATGAGCAACTTTTTCAACCTGCCACGTATTTTGGGTTGCAATAGCTTTTGCATTTTGCCCGGGGTCACAAAAGCATCTAGTATAGGTATGCCTTAATAAATAATAATTATAATGGTTGGGTTGATTTTATTTTAACAGTACATGGAATCCTTCAACACTATCCCTAATGTCCCAGTGTCAGTAAATGGGGGGCCTCTACCTGCTTACAGCACCTTAAAAAAGAATGTGTGCCATTAAACAAGAATGACAGATTTCACAGATTAACAGATTTAACAGATTAGCAGAGTTGGAAGGGACTTTATAGGTCTTTTAGTCCAGGAGTCTGCAACCTTAAACACTCAAAGAGCCATTTGGACCCGTTTCCCACAGAAAAGAAAACACCGGGAGCCACAAAACCCTGACTATTTCTTGAGGGGCCACAAAACTAGCATATGTAGTTGAATTAAACATTGTTTTCTTCTGAATTGGATTTATCCATGGTTGGATTACCGGGGGTTGAAAAGCTCAATAAATCACGTGCCAGCCAGTGTCACATTTTGGCGGTTGTGACGCATATTTTGAATGACTGGGAGCCACAGCAGAGGGGTGAAAGAGCCACATGTGGCTCCAGAGCCACAGGTTGCTGACCCCTGTTCTAGTCCAACCCACCGCCCAAGCAGCTTGTTTGCAATAGGAACGAGCCATTTATACCAAAACAAACAATAAGTTGAGCCAATCAGGTGGAGGGGTCAAACAGGGAATTAGCCTGGAATCGTTATGTAGACACAAGAGAGGAAAGTCCAACTCCCTTCCTCTCTTGAATGCTGTCAAACATTATCTGGTCTTTCCCAGGAGCAAACTGCCAGTCTGGGAAGATTCCTATGAAATACTGTAGGTATCTAAGGAACAATAAAGCAGCTAGTTTAAACTTTTCATGGGTGGATCTAGTTGTTCCCGCTTGACATTAATCTTCCCAATCTCATTAACGTTTGCTCCCCAGAAGCAAGGACAGTGAGAGGGATGGCGACCTTCCCCCAAGCAAAAGCAGCAGCAGACCAAGGATTAATGGCCAGTGTTCTACA